CTGTTGTTATTGCTCTGGGGTTAGATGGGCTCTTCCCAACTGCATAGGCTCCTCCGATGATTCCGCGGGAGAAGGTCTAGAGGTAGGATGGTGAGGTGTAGGAGACGGTGGAAACTCCACCGCTGACGTCCTCTGAAGCTCACAATATCTCTTATCAATTGAGATGGATAGAGGGATTAATCCATCCAGGATGGATGGTTCGGGACACACAGCCAGCTGATTCTTTATTCTGTCACTCAGGGCCTCAATAAAAGCTGCCTTTAAGGCATCGTCATTCCACGACGTCATGGCCGCCAAAGTCCTGAACTCCAGAGATAACTCTGCCACCGTTCTCCTCCCCTGAGATAGATGCAAGATCTTCTTCCTTATGTCAGCTGTGGTCTCAGAACTGCAGAAAGTCTGTTTAAAATCCTCCAAAAAGTCAGCATAGGGACCAGACAAAAATTCAGCGTTTCTGCTCTTTGCTTCTGCCCACCTAAGAGCCTTTCCCCTCAAAAGTCCAACATTAAACAAGATCCTAGAAGAGTCAGTCATAAAAGCATGTGGGGAGCGCTCGAACGCCAGGCGGCACTGTAGTAAAAACCCATAACAATCCTCGAGCTCACCCGAGAATGTAGGACATGGCAGAGGTGGAGCTGGACGGAAGTGGGTGACTTCCGTAGGTCCGATCGTCTCCGGTCAGGGCGGACTCACTGTTCGTAACGTAGGTTCCGGGCTTGAAGTGGAAGTAGCGACTGGAGCTGATGCTGGGGCCGGCGCTGGAGCTGGAGCTGGAAAACGCTTGTGAAGCTGTTGGACCATAGCCTCCAAATGCTGGTAACGCTGGTTTGCGATCGTCAGCTGCTCCATGAGCACGGGAAGAGTCTGTTCCTGCTGGGATACCCTGTTAGCCAGATCAGCGAGTGCTGATTCCGTTGGGTTAACGTTATGGCCGGATGATTCTGTCATGACTCGAGGGAGGTGTTTACCCAAGACATGCAGAATCAACACGACTTCAATGGGTGAGTAAAAGAAAAGTTCTTTTATTTTTAAAACAGGAACAAAAGGCGCACTGGAAAGTCCAGTGAGGATGTGCCGTTCGGTTTTAGTCCATGTAATAGTCCAATATGTGCGGGAAAGGTGGGTGGCCAAGGTGAGTGCTGGTGGAGCTTCAGCGGGCTGAGGCGGGTGAGGCAGCGGAGATGAACAGGCAGGAGTTGTAGAGGAGGATGGGACGTGGTTCAGGAAAACCGGGGTTTGAGCGGCGAGAGAATTGTGCAGAGTGATGTTTCCTGAACAGAGTAACAAACAGGGTTCAGAGGAGAATCCAAAAGCTTAATCCAGAAAAAACAGTTCAAGGTTCAGAGCCAAAAAATCCAATATCAAATTCAAACGAGCGAAACGAGCAAGCAAAGTCAAGAGGCTGGGGCTACCTCACAGGTGCAATCATCCGGCGTAGTGTGGTGTCTCCATCCTCCCTTTATACCCGACCTCCAGATTGGAGATTCAGCGCACCCGCAGCTCCCTCCGCTCCTCACCTGTGGAAGATTGCCTCAGAGATGGTTAGTGTGGAGAGAGTGCTCACCTCAGCTCAGGGACATGACAGATACACTGTAGTGTAAAGCGCTTTGGAGTCCATGCTCTGAGAGGTGCTATACAAGCGCGGGTCATTTATCATTTATAATAAGACGGAGAACAAAAGACTTATTTGAAAAGTGAAAATAAGCCCAAATGCTGATGTAGACAGGATTATGTACATCAATAACAATATATATATGTGTGTGTATATATATATATATTATTTAGTAAATTTATCAGCAATTTTACACCAAGTGTTAAGGGAAAAGGGTTACATACCATTCATGTGAAGATGAATCCACCGGACACGTTAGCGCCGCCATCATCTGCTAAAATATCCAGGACCTATTTAGTGGTGAAAAGCTTCTTGTTTTCTCCAGCCATTGTAAAAATAAGATGTCGAAAAAGCGGATAATTATCTAAAAGCTCCTCTCTTCAATAAACACTAGCGAGACAGAGTCAGCACTGCATGTAAACACTTCCTCGTGTGTCCTGCGCTCGTGAGTAAAATGTGACTATTACGCGCACATGGCAAAGACGTGTTACGCGCCAGGATATCATTGTCGATGTCACCAGACGTGTATTTCTGACTGAGTGAGGCATCACACTTACAATCTCTGCCGAGAGTCGCACATGCGCAATAGCTTCTCTGCTGTGCGTCATCTTACAGAAATGGCAGCGTCCAACACAGCAGCTACGTGTACCAAAACATCTAAAGTTTGGGTGTATTCTAGCCTGGATTCGGCGAATAAAAGAGGGCCTGCATTATTTGCAAAGCAGTCTTTAGGCAGCACCTCGAAGATGCATGAACACTTATAGAGAAAGCACGTCGGACAGTTGAACGAAACAGAGCTGACTCACCTCGGTAAGATTTAAATAACACGAAAGCCAATACGTTTTGTTTTGGATGTTCACTGTACATTTTTTAAAACGTATTCTCGCTTTTAAAAAAGAGATGTAATGTTATGCCCGACTGTGCCTGACAAAAGTATTTCAATTTTATTTATGCATTTATTTCTATACTGACAGAGCACTGTGCCTAATTGGTGTTACATAGGGTATTTCCTCCTCCAGCTTCACTGGCTGCCAGTCAACTTCAGGGTTCATTTCAAGATCCTGGTTCTGGTCTATAGGGCCTTACATGGACAAGCACCATCTTACACTGGTGATCTTCTTAGTCCCTACACCCCCAGCAGGTCCCTGAGCTCCAGTGATCAAAGCCTACTGGTTGTGCAGCACCAGGCTAAAGGTCAAAGGTGACAGATCATCTGCTGCTGTGGCCCCCAGACTCTGGACCTCTCTCCCCCTGAGCCTGAGATCAGTGGACTCAGTGGTCTCCTTTAAAAAGCAGCTGAAGACTCACTTGTTCAAGCTGGTTTTTGTATGACCTTCTTCACCTCTCTCTCTTTATTCTGCTCTCCCCACCTATTCCACCTTCCTCAGGATCCACTGGTTTCCCTCTTTCCTGTTCACTCTCTCTCTTTCTTTACATTGTTTTATCACAATTGTCTATTTTTGCTCATTTTAAATATATTTTTAACCATTTTCTAAATTATTTTTTATATTTTTACATTTTTTGTTTTTGTGAAGCGCCTCGTGATTTTTATCTTGAGAGGCGCTATAGAAATGATGTTTTCTTCTTCTATTTTTTATTTACTTTTAGTATGAATTGGCCTATCAGCAGCAAAGTTCAATAAAACGTGCATTTTCCATTGAAGTACCATCTTTCTTGTGTTTATTATCATTTTTCACATAATTAAAGCAATCTCATGCTAAATTTAAGAAATTTTTAATAATTATCCGATTAGTCAACTAATTGTTTCAGTAGTCGGCAACTAACGACTATTAAAATAGTCATTAGTTGCAGCCCTAATTTTGAGTGGCTGGCTTTCTGGATAGGATCGTATTTTATTGTCGCTATAGAGCTCCGGGAGTTGACTTCACTTCTCCCGGCATGCAACAGTTCAAATCAAAACGGCGCCATATTGGCAGGCAGAAACCGGCAGCTGGACTATTTGTTATTGTCAGAAACCTTAAACGGGAAATATGGTAGATTCCTGTTGTGCCCCAGGATGCAGAACAGACGCGGACGACATAAGGACTGAGCCATCTACAGGATTCCCCAAGATCCGGAGCGCAGCAAACGTTGGATCATTGTAATAAAACGCGCTAGTGACCGGGCTGAAATGAAGCTGTGGGATCCCGAGAGTAAAGGTTTTCACTTATGCAGCGACCGCTTCATATCAGGTACTTAAACCAACGTTTCCTCAACTGTGTATGGTATTTATTTTAAATGCTTTTATTACGATTCTTAGTGGGCTTCCTAAACTTATTTTGGCGGGGCTTTTTCTGTCTTATTACTCATAGCAACAAGTAAACGTCACGTAAAACGTTGCCTCGTGAGTTCTGCGTGCTGCCGTTTACGTGTTTTATAATCACAGCAATTAACCGGCTAAGCTGCATTTAATTTTTAAGCAATGGTTGATCAATTGTCAGATCACACATTAAAAGCACTTTGGATTGCTATTATCTGTCTCACCGAGACAGCTCTCAGACAGATCCTGAGACGCTCCTGCCTGACATATTTATTTTATTCACGGAAACAAATCAAGCTAGTGATTTCCCTTGGCGTTCAATTTATACATTCAAACAGCACAGCACTCTATTTAAACTACTTACTGTACATGTAAGTCTGTTATTTGTCCATCCATCCATTTTCATCCGCGTATCCGGAGTCGGGTTGCGGGGGCAGAAGTGTTGAGAGGTCCAGACTTCCCTCTCCCCAGCCACTTGGGCCAGCTCCTCCGGGGGAATCCCAAGTGGTTCACCGGCCAGGTTCGGTAAGAAGTCCGCTCCGACAGCTTCTGGTGTTTTTAAAAAGTATCCCAGGGGCACGGTAAGGGTCGGAGATGTTTAGTCTATTTAATTTCTGACCATATAATATGATTTCTTTGGTTTTAAAGTGTGAAATAAACTCTGACGCAGTTAAATCCAAGCCATCCCGTTCAATTTGTTTACATTTGTTGCCTGCCAACATGGCGTCTACTCTCTGAGAGTCACGTGATGTCCGGAGCTCTATTGTGTGTTTATCAGGCTTTGCTTGATATGTGAAGTCAGTCTTTTTTTTACATCCGGTTGATTTAAAGGCTCTGTGTGAATTAGGTGTCGCTGAGGTGGAAAACAATGTTTTTATTGTTTAGACTAGCTTCTTCCCGTTATGTACATGTGTAGTTTGCCTATGTTGGTGAACAGTAAGCATGGATTTGGAATGACTATGAAACCGTAAGTAGTTCCGGACCCGGTACCGTGTCCGTCGGGTTGAAGAGGTTAAAGAAAGTTCTGGATTCTCCCATCAATCTATGTACAAAGTCTTAACTAGGGTCAGGAGAATACCAGAATCTGCCGGTTTGCTGCAGAATCTTGATTTTTGTCTGTCTGTTCAGGAAGGAGCAGTCACCTGGAGTCTGTAGGGGAGGATGATGAGCTGCTTGTTGGGACGACCAGCAAAGTGACAGAGAAGCTTTCAGCTTGTCGACTTAAACACACTCTACCTCAGCAGCTGGACTCTGCTGGAGTGAAACAGGTTAGTAGAGTTGACAACCCTAAAACTGGCTTATTCGAATGAATTGTCTGTGTTTGACTCTAATCTTCATGTTTTAAGGAGAAACTGGCCTTTTGGTGTGTTAGGGTTCGAGAGTGATGGCTGCGGTCATCAATCTAATAAATAAGGGCCAAGGGGATTCTCCACCCTTTAAGTTAAACTACAGACCTGTTTCCAAATGACCTTTTCTCAGAGGGGGTGCAGCATGAACCAAGTGTGTATGTGTGTGTCTGTGTGGGCGGTGGTGGTTGTGTGTGTGTGTGTGTGTGTGTGTGTGTGTGTGGGGGGGGGGGGGGTTCTAAAAACTTATGTTTCACAAAAATGGTACAATTCTTCTTTCGAGCCATTGTCTCACCACTGGCATTATTAGAAATAAATATCAAACAAAAATACACATGAAAAGACTAATTTACCACACTCTAACACAACTAGAGCTCCTATTACTGGTGAAGGTTCTCAGTCATCCAGGCCATGGTAATCCAAAAGGGTTTAAATGAAGGCAACTGAACTTCTTTTGTTTCTTTGATATTGTTTTGGAAATAAAAAAGAGCTTCGTCACATACCTTTTCTGTGGTGATGTCAGTGTCGCTGTCCGTGTTGCTGTCATCATCCCGGGTGAAGCTGGGAAAACAAGCAGCGCCGTTTTACTGTGAAAAAAAATCCTCCTGGGCGCTTTCCGTAGCGCTCCTTTAACCATTCCTTCATTAGACTTTCCAGCATCCATCCTTTCTGGTTGACTAAAGCCGCACCTCATTATAAGCCGCATGGTTCAAAGCGTGGGAGAAAGTAGTGGCTTGTAGTCCAGAAAATATGGTATTACTAATCAAAATATGAATGTCTAAATTCAGTTTCAATTTAGTTTATTTATATAGCGCCAAATCATGACTGAGAAGAGTCGTCTCATCCATTTTCAGCCGCTTATCCTGTGTTGAGTTGCGGGGGCAGCAGCCTAAGCCGGGACACCCAGACTTCCCTCTCCCCAGCTACTTGAGCCAGCTCTTCCGGGGAATCCCAAGGCGTTCCCAGGCCAGCCGAGAGACATGGTCCCTCCAGCATGTCCTGGGTCTTCCCTTGGGTCTCCTCCCAGTTGGATGTGCCCAGAAAACCTCACCAGGGAGGCGTCCAGGAGGCATCCTGACCCGATGCCCAAGCCACCTCAATTGGTTCCTCTCAACATGGAGGAGCAGCAGGTCTATTATAAGCCCCTCCCGTATGACCGAGCTTTGCACCCCATCTTTAATGGAGAGCCCAGCCACCCTGCTGAGAAAAACTCATTTTGGCCACTTGTATCCACGATCTCGTTCTTTCGGTCGCTACCCAAAGCTCGTGACCAGAGTTGAGGGTAGGAACGTAGATCGACCGTTAAATTGAGAGCTTTGTCTTCCGACTCAGCTCTCTCTTCACCACGACAGATGGGTACATAGCCCGCATCACTGCAAATGCAGCACTAATCCGCATATCGATATCATGCTCCAGTTTTCCCTCACTCGTGAACAAGACTCCGAGATACTTCAAGTCCTCCACTTGAGGCAGGAACTCGTCCCTGACCTGGAGAAGGCATTCTACATTTTTCCGACTTAAGACCATGGTCTTGGATTTAGCGGAGGTTATTCTCATCCCAGCCACTTCACACTTGGCTGTGAAGCTCCAGCGAAAGCTGGAGATTACTCTCCAATGAAGCCAACAGGACCATATAATCTGCAAAAAGTAGAGACCTGATCCTCAGGCCACCAAAACAGACCCCCTCAACACCTTGGCTGCAGCTAGAAATCATGTCCATAAAAGTGATTAACAGAATTGGTGAAAAAGGGCAGCCTCGGCGGAGTCCAACCCTCACTGGGAACGAGCCCGACTTACTGCCGGCAATGCGGACCAAGCTCTGACACCGGTCATACAGGGACCTAACAGCCCATATCAAAGGGCCTGCTACCCCATACTCCTGGAGTCCCCCCCACAGGGACCCCCGGGGTACGAGGTCAAAAACCTTCTCCAAATCCACAAAACACATGTAGGTTTTTTGGGCAAACTCCCACGCACCCTCCAAGATCCCCTTAAAAGTATAGAGCTGGTCCAGTGTTCCACAGCCAGGACGAAAACCACATTGTTCCTCCTGAATCTGAGGTTCGACAATCCAACAGACCCTCCTCTCTAGAACCCCTGAGGCTCAGAAGTATGATCCCTCTGTAGTTGGAACACACTCTGCAGTCCCCCTTTTTAAATAGGGGGCCACCAACCCAGTTTGCCAATCCAGTGGAACTGCCGCCGATGTCCACGCGATATTGCAGAGCCGCGTCAGCCAACACAGCCCCACAACATTCGGAGCCGTAAGGAACTCGGGTCGATCTCATCCACCCCTGAAGCCTTGCCACTAAGGAGTTTTTTGATCACCTCACTGACCTCTGCCCCAGAGATTGAAGAGTCCAACTCAAAGTACCCAGACTCTGCTTCCTCACTGGAAGACCTGGTGAGATTGAGGAGGTCTTCGAAGTTTTCTGCCCACCGATCCACAATGTCCCGAGTAGAGGTCAGCAGCACACCTCCACCACTGTAAACAGTGTTGGAGAGCACTGCTGTCCCCTCCTGAGACGCCAGATGGTTGACAAGAATCTCTTGGAACATAGCCCACTCTGACTCAATGTTCCCCGCTTCCCTCTGGCCTGCCAGGTCTGGTTCCTCCCCCACCATCGATGCCAACTCACCCGAGTGTCCAAGACATGCGGCTGCAGATCAGATGAAACAACAACAAAGTCAATCATCGAACTGCGGCCAAGAGCACCTTTATGCTTGAACATGGTGTTCATTATGGACAATCCATAACTAGCACAGAAGTCCAGTAACAAAACACAGCTCAGTTCTGATTACGGGGCTGTTCCTGCCAACTACAGCTCTCCAGGTCTCACCGTCATTGCCCACATGAGCGTTAAAGTCCCCCAGCAGAACAAGGGAGTCACTTGAAGGAGCGCTCTCCAGCACCCTCTCCAAGGACTCCAAAAAGAGTGGGTAGTCTGAGCTGCAGTTTGGTGCATAAGCACAAACCACAGTCATGACCCGTCTCCCCACACGAAGGCGGAGGAAGGCTACCCTCTCGTTCACTGGGGTAAACCCCAACATAGATGGGGGGCAACAAGTATGCCCACCCCTGCGCAGCGCCTCTAAGTGGGAGCAACTCCAGAGTGGTAGAAAGCCCAACCCTTTTCGAGTAAACCGGTTCAGGAGCCAGAGCCATGCGTTGAGGTGTGTCCAACTTTATCTAGCCGGAATCTTTCAACCTTAGCCACCAACTCCGGCTCTTTCCCCAACAGAGAGGTGACATTCCATGTACCAAGAGCTAGTTTTTGTAGTCGAAGATCGGATTGCCACCCGACACAGAAAGCACCCAACCCCTTTGGCCCCTCCAATGAGTGGTGAGCTCATTGAAATGGGGACTCATGTCTCCTCTTCGAGCTGTGCCTGGTCAGGCTCCATGGGTAAAACCCTGGTCACCAGGCACTTGCCAGCGTGCCCCACCTCCAGGCCTGGCTCCAGAGGGAGGCCCCGGTGACCCGCGTCCAGGCGAGGGAACACTGTTTCCATTTATATTGTTCATCATAAGGGGTCTATGGGCTGCACGTTTTCTGATCCCTCACCTAGGGCCTGTTTGCCATGGATGACCCTACCAGAGGCATAAAGCCTTAAGCCAGGTTCATGCTTCTCCGTTAGCTCCACAAGGGACAGACACGTACGGATTGACGGAAGCGTTTTGCTCTCATACTTCTCCGTCTCCTGGGTAGTGTTGCAAAGCAATTGCCCGGCAGGACAACAGAGGGCGTAGCGCTGTTCTGTGGTATCCTGTCATGTATCCGGTCCAAGATGTGTTTATATTGTGTTTTTTGTATTTAAGAGACTTTTTAACACGGACATATTTGTCTCTCATCCTCCTCTAACTCTTCATGCGCTCGCCACCTCTAAACCCACATTTCCTGTCATTTCAGTCCACAAATAAAACGCTTGCTGTGCATCTTTTCACTCCTCCAGTCACGGGGGAATTAAACGTTCATATTTTTAGAGTTTTTTCGCGAGGTATCCTTCAAGTTTCTCCGTGTCTGCCGTTTGTTATCCTCAGCTCTTTTTATGTTTTTGAGGGCGCAATGGCGGCACCGTAAACAACAGCGGCGTCCTGACCAATCACAAGCTTGCATTGTCCGTCTCGACTGACGGATGTTTAGAAAAGAGAGCTCACTCCGTCCGTCCTTGCGGAGCTCTCCGGCAGGCACGCAAGGATGTTGCGTGTCTCCGCACTGACGCAGACGGAGAAGCATGAATCAGGCTTTAGACAACTTAGCTCCTAGGATCATTGGGGCACTCAATCCCCTCCACCACAGTAAGGGGGCACCCCATTAAGCCAATCAGTAAAAAGTTACACATAAAATGAACCCGGCAGATTGTATCGAGTCACTGACTAGAGTCAGTCAGTGTATTTCCATGCACATCAGAAAACTGAAATATTGCCTTAAAAAGACTCATGTTTTTTTTTTTTTAAGTGCATGTAAATGTGTTAGCCTGGCTGAAGGCGAACTGGTTCCAATCAAGGTGAAGCACCCAGATAGTGCGGTAGCAATCTCATTATGATCTGCATGTCAACGGGTCAGCTAAACCGGTAAGACGCTCGCATTCCAGACAGCAGAAGTGGTCTTCTGAGTAGACCATCATCACGTGTAACAATAATTGTAATGCATTTTATTTGAGGTGCCTTTCTAGAAACTCAAGGTCACTGTACATTAAAAACTCCTCCACTTGAGGCAGGATCTCCAGTGACACCATAAAACAGGAGCGTACATACCAAATAAGCTGTGCTGTGGCATTGTTTTTTTGCTTTCCTTCAGCCATTGTGCATATCCTGTTTCAATGCTGTCTGCTTCACTCCCACCAGCCTCTGTTTACTGCTTACGTTTCTATAAGCTAATCAGAACAATGCTGACATGAAAAGGGTCATGGCGCCACCTACTGTACTGGAGTGTTACAAACTATTTGAGAGGCCGGTTTTCTAATGCGCATGTAAATTAGGATAAACACTCCCAGCTTATTACAATAAAATTGACCTGGATTGACCTAGATGTCGGTCAGTGCGCATGTAACTAAGTGTCTTTACCGCAATCCTCAAACTAAGCAAGCATGTAGCAACAGCGGAGACGAAAACTCCTTTTAACAGGAAGAAACTTCCAGAGGATCCTGGATCTGTAAAGGCAGCCATCCACCATGACTCACTTGGGATTGAGAAAACAGAGCAGAGGAGACTTACGCTCGCACGCACACACACAACATATCTACCAAGTAGTGTTTCTATGGCTACGCTGTGATTGCTTAGTAGATATTCTATTTAGTAATTCTATTTGTGCATTCATACTGTGTTTTTATTTGTAATCCTTTTTTTTTGTTCTTTTCTTAGACATTTTAGAAAAAGCTATTTATTTACCTTACATGTTTCAGCTAGTAGCTCTAGTCATCCTCAGAGATCGCCGGTGACGGTGGTGTCACTTCCTTTTATCCGCGGGCAGCAGAGGACGGTGTCGCCCTCTCCTGCTCATGTCCTCCTTGCTGATGATACAGTCCCATGCATGATCCAATGTGTATGTTTCATTGTATCTGTTCATGCACAGGACCATGGCAGGTTAGATATTGGTCTATAATTCATTAGATCATCAGGATTCAGAGAAGGTTTCTTAAGTAGAGGTTTAATCAAAGCAACCTTCAAATCCTGTGGTACATATCCATTTACTAAGGCTTGATTGATCATATCTAAAATGGGGTGTATTTACCAAAGGAAATGCATTTTTAAATAATTTGGTTGGGATTGAATCCAAAATGCAAGTTGAAGGTTAACCTCGGGTTTCCACGGGAGCCGTCAGCAGCATGTTACTGCAGCAGCACGTCTTGCTCGCGTAAGCTGCTGCTTGGCCCTTCCCACGAGACGCGAAGCAGCAGGGGAGCAGCTGTCACCGACCGAGCACGAAGTCACACGAGTGACTTCGTCAGTAAACACAACAACAAGCAGGAGAAAACTACAACATGGTTTGTGTTTTATGTTCTGTCCGTTTCATAATCGCCAATACGGACCTGAAAAACAAAGGAGACCGCTAGCTAGGTGATAACTTCTCACGGGGCCGCACAGTTAGTAACCTTTTTTAAAAGTAAAGCGACCGGAAAGCAGTACGTTCTTTATTCTGAAAATCTCGGTAGCTTCTCTCCATTTCCGCGTCAGATTTCCTGTCTTTCCTTCCCCAAAAATGTCGAACTTGACCCGTTTCATAGGCGTCGTGCGTAGAAAATAGAACCGGCACGTAAAGGCCGCGACATGCTGCTCCTGAGACGCGGCCGACTCGCGCTGCTGACGGCTCCAGTGGTAAAGATTCTGTTGACCACAGCGATTCCTATCAGCAGCTATGACGTGCTGCTGCAGTAACGTGCTGCTGACGGCTCCCGTGGAAATCCGGGGTGAGATGAAGCTAATTATTTTGATAACTCTGAAAGCTCAACTGGATCAAACGGTTCAAACACAGATGAGGTTCTACAGTTACCTCTGATGCTGCCTCACTTACTGAGGAAGAAAAATCGCATTAGGGAGGATGCCAATGATTTTGTTTCTAATAGAATCAATTTTATTCGTGAAAAATCCCAAAAAGTCATTGCTGCTGAAGGCTAACGGAATATATGGTTCAGAGCTATGGTTCTGTGTAAGTTTAGAAACTGTACTGAAAAGAAATTTAGGATTCTTATTCTCCTCAATTAGTGGGAAAAGACTGTCGATCAGCTCCAAAAAGGTTCTGGCAAACCATCCAGCACCTCAGGAGAGGAAGGCAGCAACTCGCCCACACTGTTTTCTGTGGAGGTGTGGAGCTGCTGACCTCGACTGGGGCTATAGTTGAGCAGTGTGGAAGCAATATTTATAGGAGCTCCTCAATCCCATTGACAAGCATTCTGACGAGGAACCAGAGCTGTGAGGCCTGCAGATAGACTGCCTGATCTCTTAGGCAGAAGTTGATGAGGAAGTCAAACAACTACACAGCAGTGGAACACTGGGGATGGATGAGATCTGTCCTGGGTATCTCAAGGCTACCAATGTTGTAGAACTATCGTGGTTGACATCTCTGCAAAATTGTGCAGTCACCGGCGAGAGTTCCTGTGGAGTGACAGACCGGGGTGGTGGTCCTCATCTTTAAGAAGTAGGTCCAGACAGTGTGCTCCAACTATAGGGGGATCACACTCCTCAGCCTCCCTGCCAACATCTACTTTAAGGTACTGGACAGGAGGGTTCAAGTGATAGTTGAATCTTGGATAGAAGAGGAGCAGTTTGGTTTTTGTTCTGGAAAACTGTTGACCAGCTCTTTACTCTTGCTAGGGAATGGAGAGGGCATGGGAGTTTGCACAACCGATCCACATGTGTTTTGTGGATTTGAAGAAGGCATTTGAACGTGTCCCCAGGGGACACTCTATGGTGGGTACTCCAGAAGTATGGGGTGGATGGCCTTTTGCTAAGGGCCATTCATTCCCTGTACCAGAGGAGTGTGAGCTTGGTCTGCATTGCCGGCAGTAAATCTGACCTGTTCCCAGTAAGGGTTGGACTCCGCCATCTTTATGGAAAGAGTTTCTAAGCACAGCCACTGTGTAGGGGGTATTGAGTTTGGTGGCAGGAGAATGTTGTCTCTGCTGTTTTTGGATAATTTAGTCCTCCTACCTTTATCAAGCTCTGAATTTTAGTTCTTGCTGGGTGGGTTTGCAGCCAAGTGTGACGTGACTGGAATGAGGATCAGCACCTCGAAATCCAATACCATGGTTCTTGATCGAAAAAGGGTAACTTGCCAACTCCAGGTCGGGAAAGAGGTCCTGCCTTAAGTGGATGAGTCGGCCCAGGACATATTGGAGCAAGTACATCTCCAATCTGGCCCGGGAATGCCTTGGGGTCCTTCTGGATGAGCTGGTGGAGGTGGCCGGGGAGAGGGCTGGCTAGGATGCCCTACTTGAGATGCTACTCTCACGACCCGGACCTGGAAAAGCAGAGGAAAACAAACATAAACTTAAACTCCTTTGATGCATTTAAATTTCATATCCTGCCAAAGTTGACAGTCTTGATGCATCGCACCACCACAGATGCATTATTTTTTATCATCAACTATTATCAAATTCTCACAAATATCAGAGAAAATGTTATGTAACAGAAAATCCTTGCCTGAACTATCAGATAAAATTTGCTGCTAGGTTAAAATGTTGTCTGTTGCTGAGGTCATTCAAGATGAGCTTTCCAGCACAAACTTCACCTGTAGAAGTTTGCTGCCCTGGCTAGCAGTGGCGGCCGGTGAATTTATTTTTGGGTGGGGCACATTTATGGCATCTGTTAGATGTTAGATTAGCTAATCACATATCATCACGAGGGGATGCCAATTTATCATTCTTATGATAGAATCCACATATTTTACCTCAACAATGACGATAAAAATAAGGGCTGAAAAAAGCTAAATGCACATATTGAGATAAACACACAGTAGATAAAATGCAATATGATCCTATTCACAGAAGTAGACATTTAACTTAAAGCCCAGACACTCTTCTTTACAACGATATAAGTACCATTACTCTACTGGCATAACAAACATTAACACTTATCACACTGAGCTGATTTCTTGTGTCTTGTGCTTTTTTACACGCTGGAGACTGTTTATTAGTCTCTGTTGCCACATTATGTAATTTTCCAGTTCTTCATACTAATAAAATGTTTGCTGCTAGGTTAAAATGGTAGGTTAAATGGTTAAAACTTCACAGGGTGTTTTCATTTGCAATTTTACAAAAAATTGGAGCAATTAAGAACAATATGTTAACAATATCAACTATCCACAATGGCTTATAAGTAATTGTGTGTTTACATTTTAAATTAACATACGTGATTTACATAATTATGTATGAATATGCAGAACAGTTTTGTTTCACCCTCTCATCTTAAGACCTTGTTTTTAAAGTTCAAGGTACTAATTTATGACAGGGTTATATTTTCATTGTGTCATATTGGATTGTAGGATCAGTTTAGTGTTCTGTCATTAATCATCATCAAGTTAGTATAAATGAAAAACATGAGAATAAATGAATCTGGAAGTCATCCTTGTTGTTTTGATGTTCATTCCCTTCTAGGAATATCAGTTAGCTAAGAAATCAGCTCGATCCCTGAGCACCGTTCAAGTAGAGTCTCCATGGCGACTGGCACAACCGTCTATTATCTCCAGCATTGTGCTGATGAAAGGCCAGGGCAAGGTGAGTGCTCTCCTTTCACACACAAGCACAAATAAAACCTGAGTGTGTTGAACCTCTCAATGAGTCTGGGGCTCATGCCACTTTAACGTTCTGTTTTCCCTTAAAAGGAACCCAGGTTACAAAACCTTATGGTTCTTAAAAGATAAATGTTAGTATCAGTTATATTAAAATGGTGTAAAAAACCTTCTTGATGTCTTCATTTTTATAAAATTTGTTAAAAATAGTTTAACTTGTAGGTCGCCATTGTTGTCAGCGTTGCAGTGCACTCTGGGTAGTGACGTCACATGGTTGTACCTCGGTTGCACCGGCCGGCTTTGCGACCCTGTAGGGACTGTTCGGCGGCATCAACGTGTCATCTGTTCAGCCTTTTCACTTTGAACCAGAGTGAAACATTAATGATGACATCACTGACCATGCTTCACAAAACGAGCATCAACATGAAGAGCAAGAAGGGCGGGATGAAACGAGAGCAGGACAAAACCAGTGATGCGTGTGCGGCAAATGCGTCTCCGTGGTAACAGAGAGGGAGTGTTTGTTGTCAAGAGCTCATACTTTTGTCAGCAGAAGTTAACGGTAAGCTATCGTGTGATCAAACTTATTCAGTTATGAATAATTTTGGAGAATATTAGCATCCAGAGCTGTCGTGTGCTTCATAGATGATCAGGATATTCAGTTGCCTATCTCCAGCGGTCAACGGGCAATCAGGCGGGGTACACCCTGGACAGAGAGCCAGTCCATCGCAGGGCAACACAGAGACAGACAGGACTAACAACCATGCACACACACACACACACACCTAAGAACAATTTAGACAGACCAGTCAACCTAACAGTCATGTTTGTGGACTGTGGGAGGAAGCCGGAGTACCCGGAGAGAACCCACGCATGCACAGGGAGAACATGCTAACTCCATGCAGAAAGATCCCAGGCCGAGAAGCGAACCCAGGACCTTCTTGCTGCAAGGCAACAGCTCTAACCACTGCGCCGCTGCACAGCCCAGATTTATAAATAAACATCAATATTTTGTGTGTTTCTGACAACAGTTTGGTACTACAGAAAACTTGTGGCCTATTAGGGCATACACGTCCTCATAGCCGGAGTTCCTTTTAAGTCTCATGGTGATGATCTGTTTTCAGACTTATAACACAGACGTGTGAGAGGACATCAGGTTCATTCTCCCTGTGAAAGTTCTTAAGAATTTGTTTTTCAGATAGCTTCCAGAAAGGCCTCTTTTCAGAGAAATAGAACTTAGATCTTACAGGAGTGACAAGTCAAAGGCTAGCCTGAGTTAGTAGTCTGAGCTAGTGCCTAGCCTGAATTAGTGTCTAGTCAGAGTCATAGGCATCTCTAGCCAATTTAAAAGTGCTGAAGTACTCCTAAATTGTGTCCCAGCACCAGTAAAATTTGGCAAATGAATTAATTTATTTCATGCTTGCTTATTTCCCCACACTAGTAAAACATAAAATGGTTTGATCATGCTCACCTTGTCTGGACTCATTTCTGAGCCTTCCTGAGCCGCACATGAACCACCGGAACAAACGGAAACAACACGGTGAGCAGCATGGAGTACAGAGAAGAAAGCAGTGATAAAAATGGTGTAACAGTAAAGACTGAAGGCATTTACTAGTCCTCCCTGGGCTGCCACCTTACCGTGGTGGAGGGGTTTGAGTGTCCCAATGATCCTAGGAGCTAAGTTGTCCAATGCTTTATGCCTCTGGTAGGGTCACCCATGGCAAACAGGTCCAGGGTGAGGGATCAGACAAAGTGCAGCCCACAGACACCTTACGATGATGAACATTAATGAATCCGTGTTCCTTCGCCCCCGCACGTGGGTCACCAAGGCCCCCCTCTGGAGCCAGGCCTGAGGTGGGGCACGTTGGCGAGCGCCTGGTGATCGGGCTTTCATCCATGGAGCTCAAACTCACAATAACCCCTTATAGATCATTACAAATGTAGAGAAGATGTTCCTACATTTAATTAGAAACCATAAAATGTGAAATATCATGAAGTATGAAATATCACCAGAAATGGACAATTCATCACGCTACACAATGCTCAGGAATGCTTCCTGATGTTTTTCAGTTCTGTTCATCACTTCTATGGACAGGATTTCTAGGTGCAGCCAACGTGTTGAGAACATTTTGGTGGCCTGAGGATCAGGTCTCTGCTTTTTGCAGATGATGTGGTCCTGTTGGCTTCATCAGAACGTGATCTTCAGCTTTCGCTGGAGCGGTTCACAGCCGAGTGTGGAGCAGCTGGGATGAGAATCAGCTCCTCTAAATCTGAGACCATGGTCTTGATTCGGAAAAGGGTAGAATGCCTTCTCCGGGTCAGGGATGAGGTCCTGCCCCAGGTGGAGGAGTTTAAGTATCTCGGGGTCTTGTTCACGAGTGAGGGAAAGATAATTACCCTATTGACCCAAATATAGAATGACCCTGATTATAAGACAACTCCGCCTTTCCAAGAAAAAGACAAAAAGAGAAATCACAGAAAGATAGATGGATGGATGGATTTTTGGTGTTTCATAGTAATGTCTAATAATTATATGACTGGTCTTTAAAACCCTTTTAATTGTTGAGCACTTTAGTCTGTGTCTATTGTGAAATTTGCTGTTCTTCAGTATTATTTCATAATCTATTTGAAATAATGTTGAAATAAAAACATAAATCACCTAAAATCACAGCGTATGTGCAGCAAAATGCAGTTTTTAAGTACAAAACACTGCAGTTAAGTCACAGAGACGAGCTGGTCTAGATGTTCTCTGATGGCTTCTACAGGATGGTCATTAGTCAGGTGGTCTAGGAATGACTGTGATGTTCCTTCTCCAGGGCCTCGGCTTCAGCATCGTTGGTGGGCAGGACACAGCACGAGGGCAGATGGGTATTTTTGTTAAAACCATTTTCCCTCATGGAGCTGCAGCAGCCGATGGACGACTTAAAGAGGGTAGGGTACCCAATAATTTTACACATCAGCTGTCTTCACAGGCACTGTGACGTTCAGATTATTCATGAAATAAAACAAGATTTTGATGTTTAGGTGATAAGATCTCAGGGTTGTCTTCTTTCCCACCAAGATCATGTCATAACAAAGTTAACACATTATCGTGTGTGTTGGTTTGAATCCTGGCCCAAACAACAGTTTCTGGTAAAGCTTCTGGTAATATCGCTGATAAGAGCTCTGATATTAGTTCTGGAGTTTGCTCTGATTAACTCCAGTATTAACCTAAAATTAGCTTTGGTATTTACTCTGATATTAGTCCTGATATTATCTCTGGTTCTAGCTCAAATGCTAGCTTTAGTATTTACTCTGACATTAGCCCTGACATTAGCTCAGGTATTAGCTCAGATGCTAGCTTTGGTATTTACTCAGATATTAGCTATGGCATTAGCTTAGATGCTAGCTTTGGTATTTACTCTGATATTAGCCCTGACATTAGCTCAGGTATTAGCTCAGATGCTAGCTTTTGTATTTACTCTGATATTAGCTATGGCATTAGCTCAGATGCTAGCTTTAGTATTTACTCTGACATTAGCCCTTAAATTAGCTCAGGTATTAGCTCAGATGCTAGCTTTGGTATTTACTCTGACATTAGCCCTGACATTAGCTCAGGTATTAGCTCAGATGCTAGCTTTGGTATTTACTCCGACATTAGCCCTGATATTACCTCTGGTTCTAGCTCAAATGCTAGCTTTGGTATTTACTCAGATATTAGCTATGGCATTAGCTTAGATGCTAGCTTTGGTATTTACTCTGATATTAGCCCTGATATTACCTCTGGTATTAGCTCAGATGCTAGCTTTGGTATTTACTCTGATATTAGCCCTGATATTACCTCTGGTATTAACCCTTTAGGCGCCATAGCATTTCCAGTAAAATATGAATTTTTTACATCACTTTTTAAAGAGTTTGTAGCTTAAATCTGGTTAGAGATAGAGGAATATTGTAAATTAGAAAAATCTTCAGTATGAGCCAAGTTTTGTGATTGGAACAAATTCACTCACATATTTTGCATATTATGACGTCATCAGGTGGCAGCCATATTGGATTGCATCACATTTGCAGATTTTTGTTGTTTTTTATGTTTTTGTCTGATTTTCTTAGTGTCGTTATTGTTAATGACACATATATACATATTTCTATGTAGACAGATATAACTATGTATGTATATATATATATATATATATATATATATATATATATATATATAATATTTATAACTTTATTGGTATTTTGTTATGTTTACTGCGTATCAATCAAGAACACTGTTTTTGGTGCTTCAGTGTCATGAACACATTTCACTCATCCCTTCTTTGGTTTGTTTTGTTTATAATATATATATATATATATATATATATATATATATATATATATATATATATACATATATATATATATATATATATCAATTAGGGATGCAACGGTATGCGGTAAAATACCGGACGGTTCGGTACGCCCTGCACGGGACAATCTGCCCTCCTGTCCCGCGGGACTTCGGTACTCCCATTGATTTTGCGCTGCTCTTTTATTTCATGCTTGGCACCATGCGCGTTTGCCGGTCCAGGTAGATGAAAGGCCCACCCCCAAGTTAATGTCCAATCACCATTGTGCATCCGCGTCCTCACTCACAAACTCTTACTACAGGTAGGCGGCTGGCTGAGAACGAAGAGACACGAGGAAATGGCGAGCTGCAGTGGAGTTGAAAGGAAAGAGTTTGAAGAGGCACCAGGCTCTTTTAAATCTTTAAATTTGGTTTTCAACATTTATTGAAGACGCTCGACCGACGTTATTCTGTGCCCAGTCGCACACATTTTAGTCAGGTCGTCATCCCTGGTCTTTACGACAAAACGCGCAACGCCATCGAGAGTGATTTGGCTAAGGCAGAAAGCCTCGCACTGACAACTGATAGTTGGACTTCTCAGGCAACGCAGAGCTACGTGACTGTGACGGCTCACTACATGCTGGACTGGGAGATGAAGCGCCGTGCTGCAGACTCGCCCCCTCTATGAAAGCCACACAAGTGCGCATTTAGCAGAAGAGATAAAAATGCAGTCACCGAGTGGAAGCTGGAGCGGCCAAACAAAACTATACCCGTCGCCACAGATAATGCTCCAAACATTGTTAATGCAGTTAATGAAACTGTTGAGCTGGGACCCCAGATTAGCTGTTTTGCTCACACTGTGAATCTCGCTGCAAAGAGGGTTGTGTCAATCAACGGTGTGTCCCGCCTCCTTGGGAAAGTGAGGAAAGTTGTCACCTTTTTTCACCACAGCACCACAGCCAACCAAGCACTTGGTTCATTTATTCCATACTGTGATGTTACAGCACAAGCTAACTCCTGTTTGTTAAAACGCAAAATGCACTTTTACTTTTGCATTGCTTACCTCATGTATCACGTATCATGGTTGGGAACCATTAGAATATTTTCAAGTGTCTTTGTTTACATTTTGTAATTTTTTTATATATTTTGTATTGCATACAAGTGATAATTGAAAGAGGGTATTAGTGTTCAATGCAGAGAATGTTAACTTATTTCATACACGGATGTCCTTACAATTGTGACATTCTGTTTTCGCTCTGAAGAAAAATAAAATGCATGTTTTAGAATAAACGCTGTCTCCTTCTGCACAAACATATACCGAACCGTCCCGTGGACCGTGGCCTAAGTACCGAGGTACGGACCGTACCGTGGGCTACCTGTACCGTTGCACCCCTAATATATATATATATATATATATATATATATATATATATAGATAGATAGATAGATAGATAGATAGATAGATAGATAGATAGATAGATAGATAGATAGTGGGGCAAAAAAGTATTTAGTCAGCCAAGTTCTCCCACTTAAAATGATGACAGAGGTCAGTAATTTTCATCATAGGTACATTTCAACAGTGAGAGACAGAATGTGAAAAAAAATCCATGAATTCACATGGATGGATTTTTAAAGAATTTATTTGTAAATCAGGGTGGAAAATAAGTATTTGGTCAATAACTAAAATTCAACTCAGTGCTTTGTAACATAACCTTTGTTGGCAATAACAGAGGTCAAACGATATAGGTCTTTACCAGGTTTGCACACACAGTAGCTGGTATTTTGGCCCATTCCTCCATGCAGATCTTCTCGAGAGCAGTGATGTTTTGGGGCTGTCGCCGAGCAACACGGACTTTCAACTCCCTCCACAGATTTTCTATGGGGCTGAGTATGCGCAATATAGGCAGATGCTGAAGCTCTCCAAACCTGCAGTCAGAACTTCTAAGAAGTGGACCTGCGAGGCTGTGGAGGAGCTTCGCGTGTGTCTGGACACAACAGACTGGGACATGTTTGGATCTGCCACAGACAACTTGGATGAATATACAGACGCTGTGACGTCATATATAAAATTCTGTGAGGACAGCATTATCCCAACAAAAACCAGGGTCACTTTTAACAACGATAAGCCCTGGTTCACACCCAGACTGAGACAGCTGAGGAGGGAGAAAGAAGCAGCCCACAGAGCCAAGGACAGAGAAAGCTACAAGGGCGCTAAGTACCAGTTCTCAAAAGAGTTGAAGAAGGTGAGATCCCGGTACAATATGCGTCTAAAGGAGCAGTTCTCTGACAATGGCGCCACCTCTGTCTGTAGAGGGTTCAGGCAAATCACCAACTACAAGCCTAGGGCCCAACATGCTGCTGACGATCTACAACTAGCTGAACAACTTAACTCCTTTTGAAATGCAACACCCATCCCCCACCCCCCCTACTGCACAGGTTTCTTCAGCCACTCTGGTGTCACATGCCTCCCCCACCACCTTCACCACTGTGAATAGTACAGTGCCCGATGACCACCCCTCCCCCTCCACTGCCTTCTCAGTGACAGAAGAGGGTGTGCTCAGGGTTTTCCTTAAGCAAAACCCACGGAAATCCCCGGGCCCGGACGGTGTCTCCCCCGCTACCCTGAGACACTGCGCAGAGGTATTGTGTCCAATCTTCACGGACATCTTTACCATCTCCTTGGAGTCCTGCCATGTTCCAGCCTGCTTTAAGCTGTCCACCATTGTCCCTGTCCCTAAGAAACCCCGTATCACTGGACTTAATGATGACAGGCCTGTGGTGCTGACGTCTGTAGTCATGAAGCCTTTTGAGCGCCTGGTCCTCCCCCATCTCAAGTCCTTCACCTCCCCCCACCTGGACCCTCTGCAGTTCGCATACAGAGCCAATAGGTCTGTAGACGACGCCATCAACCTGGCCCTCCACTTCATCCTGCAGCACCTGGACTCCCCGGGAACCTACGCTAGGATCCTGTTTGTGGACTTCAGCTCTGCGTTCAACACCATCCTCCCTGCTCTGCTCCAGGACAAGCTCTCCATGCTCAACGTACCCAACTCCACCTGCAGGTGGATCACTGACTTCCTGACAGACCGTAGGCAGTGCGTGCGGCTGGGGAAGAATGTCTCCACCACTAAGACAATTAGCACAGGATCTCCACAGGGCTGTGTACTTTCTCCTCTGCTCTTCTCCCTGTACACAAACTGCTGCACCTCGAGCCATGACTCCGTTAAACTGATCAAGTTTGCGGACGACACCACCCTCATCGTGCTCATCTCTGACGGTGACGAGTCTGCCTACAGGAGGGAGGTGGAACGGCTGGTGTACTGGTGCAGCAGCAACAACCTGGAGCTCAATGCTCAGAAGACAGTGGAGATGATTGTGGACTTCAGGAAAGTCACAGCCCCATCTCTCCCCCTCGTCCTGACGGACACCCCCGTCACCACTGTGGACTCCTTCCACTTCCTTGGAACCACCATCACACATGACCTTAGGTGGGAGCCATCCATCAGCTCCCTGATCAGAAAGGCCCAGCAGAGGATGTACTTTCTGCGGCAGTTGAAAAAGGCCAAGCTGCCGGCCCAGATGATGGTGCAGTTTTACACGGCCATCATTGAGTCCATCCTCACCT